AATCTCTTCTTACAACCAAAGAAAACAACTTGTCTTTCCATTATCCACCACAGAAAGTGGGGGTGCAGATAATACAACTAGTCAGTGACAGTTATACTTACAGATTCCTCATGTTAGCTCCTTCACTGTTTCCCAACCAAGTCCCACAAAAACAATGTTACCTCGTTGTTCTGCACTTTCTCAATCACCACCACCACCACCTTCAATATCCAAATTTCTCTCTGACCACCCATGTCTCACCATGCTTCAAAACCCCTCCACAACCATCAACCACTTCCACCAAATTTACCCCCACATCATCAAAACCGGCATTACTCACAACCCAATTGCTTCAACACGTGTCCTCTCCTTCTGTGCATCACCATCTGGCAACATTAACTATGCCTACAAACTGTTCACCAGAATGCCAAACCCAAATCTTTACTCTTGGAACACCATTATAAGAGCCTTTTCAAGAACCTCAACTCCACAATTTGCTATATCACTCTTTGTTGACATGTTGTACTCTGAAATTCAGCCTCAACATTTGACTTACCCTTCTGTTTTCAAAGCTTATGCTCAATTGGGTGATGATGCTTATCATGGATCTCAGCTTCACGGAAGGGTTTTGAAATTGGGTCTTCAGAAAGACCAATTTATTCATAATACTATCATTCACATGTATGCTAATAGTGGACTTTTGAGTGAAGCTAAAAGAGTTTTTGATGAAAGAATTGAACTTGGTGATGTTGTAGCTTTCAATTCAATGATTATGGGTTATGCTAAGTGTGGTGAGATTGATGAATCTAGGAAGCTTTTTGATAATATGTCTACAACAAGAACTTCAGTTACTTGGAATTCTATGATTAGTGGATATGTTAGGAACGTGAAGTTAATTGAGGCGTTGGAACTTTTCTATAACATGCAGGAGGAAAGGATTGAACCAAGTGAGTTTACAATGGTTAGCTTGTTAAATGCTTGTGCTCACTTAGGAGCACTTCAACATGGGAAATGGGTTCATGATTATATAAAAAGGAATCATTTTGAATTGAATGTTATTGTTGTTACGGCGATAATTGACATGTACTGCAAGTGTGGGTCTATTGAAAATGCTATTGAAGTGTTTGAGAAGTGTCCTAGAAGAGGGTTGTCATGTTGGAACTCTATTATTATTGGGCTAGCCATGAATGGTCGTGAAAGAGAAGCGATTGAGTTGTTCTCTAAGCTTGAATCTTCGAAATTATTGAAGCCGGATTCTGTGAGTTTCATTGGTGTTTTAACTGCTTGTAAACATTTAGGAGCAGTTGACAAAGGAAAGGACTATTTTGAATCGATGATGAATAATTATAAGATTGAACCATCCATAAAACACTACACTTGCATGGTTGATGTGCTAGGTCAAGCCGGACTCCTAGAAGAAGCAGAAGAACTTATAAATGGTATGCCTATAGAACCAGATGCCATTATATGGGGGTCTTTGCTCTCATCTTGTAGGAAGCATGGGAATGTACAGATTGCAAAACGGGCTGCTCAAAGAGTTTATGAGTTAAATCCAAATGATGCAAGTGGTTATGTACTCATGTCTAATGTTCATGCTGCATCTAACAAATTCGAAGAGGCAATGGAGCAAAGGCTTTTGATGAAGGAAAACTCGACAGAGAAAGAACCAGGTTGTAGTTCAATTGAATTATACGGAGAAGTTCATGAGTTTCTAGCTGGGGGAAGGCTGCATCATAAGACCCAAGAGATCTACCACTTATTGAGTGACTCCAGTTTTACATTTGAAGATTGATTATCTGTGAGATTATGATTCATCAATCTGTATATAGAAGTAAGTAGCAGTAGTATAGAGAAGATTTAGAATAGATTAGAATCACACAACCTAAATGTCCAATTCACATGTTAATACAGTTACTTAGCAGCATTCCGAGTTACCGAAGCTTGTAGATTTACAAAGAAAAAGAAAGTTCATCTTGTCATTTGGACTTGATGCCGTTCTCACTTATGACTGAAAAAAATAATTCCATTTCAATATCGTCTTGCTGTTAAAGTATGTGTCATTTTGGTAATTTACTTCGAAGACAAATTGCGAAAACTTGAATATAGGTTTTGCTTACTAATAAATGATGTTTTATATTTTACTCATTGCTCTATAATATGGATGCTTAGAAATAGGCCTAGTGAAAAGGAATGTCTGACTACAAATGCTCCATATTTGATAAAAATATCCAATCTAACTAAAAAAAGTAGACCTTTAAGTTTTTTCAAATCATAGCACTTATTAATTTGTTTAATCAATTGATAATAGTAATACAACAGAATAAGCACATGATCTTGTTTAGCAATGTCAACCTGTTTATACCCTTGCTTGTACAAGAATATGGTGACATTATAGCTATCCTAAGTTTCAGGTTTTTGACAAGTTTCGCCCTGGTGCCCAAGAGTATATCTCAGGAGGCATTGCACCATTCATGAGAAGGTTCTGTGGCATTGCATATAAGTCAGAGATATCAAGATGATGTTGTGCACGTCCATTTTGGTAATGCTGATTCTGCATTGCAGCAGCAAGTTCGTCGTCTTCCGCTGGAAGACGATCAAAAGTAGCATGCATGAAGGAAGCAGCCATGATGACAACAGGTCCCGAAGCAATCAAAGCACCGACTACAGCACCTCCAACAACTTGTCCTTGAGCACCTGCTAAGTAAATCGTCAAGCCAGTGATTCCCGGCGGTGCTGGTGGGGGAAGAATCGACCCCAACAACGAGAGAATCTCAAATCGACCATGAAGGGTCACAATTGCACCAGAAGAAGCTGGTTGACGCAATGTTACGTTCGTTACACAACCAGTGCCATTAAGTATACAAAGACCTCGTTGCTTCCTCCTCGCAAAGTTTAACAAACTCTCATTCACATCACAGCCAGAACTCACTTCCATAGCATGAGCTTTCAGTGCATTAGCACTATCTCTCGTGACAATAATCGGCGGCTTTGGCTTGTTTTTCGATCCAGCCGGCCGACCACGAGGTCGCTTTAATGTTTCCCCCTCGGCTGCAGAAGAAACTGGCGAAACCGATTTCGGAACTTTAGGAGATACTAAACTAACATCAATACCATTACCAGACATATTATTCTGGTTACCACTGTCTTGTTCTTGCTTGTGTTCCATTTCACCAAACATAGGATAGTTTTTGGAATAAAAGAGTAGTAAATCGATCTTTCCTGTTACAATATTGAAGGTTTAAGTAGTTGCATTATGAGAATAAATATTATAGGAGCAGAAAAGAATGATCACAATTTTAGGATGAAGTTAAGTTATACCACCAACCACACCATAAATTGCAGTTTTTTGCATTATTCTTCCTAACTCTTACTAACTTTGCCTCATATCAATTGCCTTCCCGAGCAGATATCTCATGGTAAAATAATTATTACTATTTCCATTCATTGTTAGCTGCACACCTACCTACACTATCTTCACCATATTATATAGATACTTGTTTCAACTTCCAAGTCTATCATAACCTGCATTAAAACTATATGGTGTAAAAGTGAACAGAGGACCCTGTTCCATTGGCCTTTTTTAAGCCACAGGACCTTTAACTTTGGATTCATGTTCCATTTTCTCTGGATTATAAGTATTACATCAGATATCTTAACTATAAGATCAGAAAGTACTAAATGTCAGGTTTTATATTTGGATGTAATTAAACCAATCCGAATTCCATGTAGTAAAATGACACTTGCAGTCACATTATCACAATCACTTGAGCTGAATTTAAAATATTAATATTGAATGTCCGTAAATGAAAATTGACTCAATTAGTAAGCATTTGATTTAAAAAATTCCGTGTTCAATTTTCATTGTCATCTTTAAGGACGATGTGAGAATTTTTATCTTTAAAATGTGCTACAATAATACTATAGTTGTATGAAAAATTAATGAGAGCATAGAATATTCTCAACCTATAAAAAAAAAAGTTTTTAAAATCATGTTTGAATTAATGAAGTATAACACACTAGAATGGAATAAAACATAACAGAGCATAATAGAATATTAATTTCACTTATTTTGTTTGATTAATTTATTAAAAATGTCTCATCTTAATACATATACTTCAAATTAAATGGAACAAAAATGAAAAATTAGATGATCATTCTACTATATCTATTATTTATAAATTGAAACAATAAAATCTGATTAGTTATCACTCCATTTCATTAATTATTATATTATTGTGAGATATAATTTAAAATATTTTTTTGAATAAGTAATAGTAAAAGAAGTGATAATAACCATAAACTCACACAATCGAAAATACCATTATCAAGATATGAACCTATATAATAATGTCCAACATAATAAGATGGACTTCGGACGATTTAATACACTTTATTATAACCTATTTTTTATCATTTTAAATTTATTTTACATTTTAAAATTTTGATGTCAATTATTTTCGAGACATTTAATAATACGTCTCTAAAATTTTGTGTTCATCATGTGACACAATATATCAATTCGGCATTACTACTGTGTGATCACGTGCGCGCCACCGTAGTTCCTTTTCGGTTCTCCTCGTCCTTTTCCAAATTCAAGGGTAACCTTCAACCTTATGATTCTTTCATTCATTCTCGCCATAGAAATCATTATATTTGAAGAATGTTATCATTTTACACTCTTTTCAATGCATACAAATTTGTGTTTGCTGAGATTTTCGTAAAGAAATTACAAATATAGAAAGTGCATCATATAATTAAGGATGAAATTAGTATTTACTACTTTGTTATGTTTTGTGTAATGAGATAAATTTTACACTCAGTTTTGTGGGGAAAAAATTGTGTTAGGATCGGTGTCAATTACATTTAATTTATTCATTTTTTAAAATATTACTGGTGGTGTCGACGTATTAGTGTCGGTGTTGTGTTTCAGTGTCCGCACTTTATAGGTTATTACACATTTTTTTTTCTTGTGATGGTTCATTGATTTTATGGTGTTTTAGTTAATTAGTGATTGAGCTTCAATGGTAGTTGAGGCTTTGGTTCCTTTGCTTGAGAATGAAGGTGTGAATGAAGATTATTCAGCTTCATATGATAATGAACAGAAAGAGGAAGGGAATCATAAAGTCTGTTGCTCCTCCAAGGCTAACTTGCAGATCAGGGAACTTTGGACTGATGGACTTATTTGTGCTTTCGAGTTCATCCGCGGCTCTCGGAAGACTCATTCCTCACCAGCAGTTAGGGATGTGGCCAAGAAAAAAGATTTTCAAGACAATCAAGTTAATCAATTGAAAAGAAGTTCTAGTGGAAACGGCTTTCACGAATCGCATTTTCCGGTAGAGAAGTCATCTGGTGGGTTGGATCGTGATGAATTCGATGAAAATAACTGTTTTGCTAAAGAGGGCCATTCTAGAAGTTACTGGAAACCAATTGGTTGGGCTAGAGTTTCTGAACTTGTCCTGGCTGTGCATAGTGATGCTAGCTGGGCATCGCAGCTGCATGATTTTACCGATGATGAAAGTGATGTTCCTGTTGCGGATGTAGCAACTCCTTACTGGGAAAGGCCGGTTGGTCCAATCTGGTGGTGTCATTTGGATGCTGCTCATCAGTATGTTACGACATGGCTTGCTAGTGCGCAGTGGCTACATCCTGCTATTAGCATTGCCTTGCATGATGAAAGCAGGTTAATAAGCGATCGAATGAAACACCTTCTGTATGAGGTAAATAAACTAGTTATATAAATATTACAGTGAAATTTGTTATTTTTTTTCATATGAAAGAATTTCAACTGTCGATTATCGTTTTGATAGGTTCCTGTTCGAGTCGCTGGTGGATTACTATTTGAACTTCTAGGGCAGTCTGCAGGCGATCCATTTGCTGAGGAAGATGACATTCCCGTTGTATTACGAGCATGGCAAGCACAGAACTTTCTGGTCACAGCTTTGCATGTTAAGGGCTCTGCGTCAAACATCAATGTTTTAGGTATTTTAGAAGTTCAGGTTAGTTAGCCCCTCCAACTTACTCCGGGTTCCAGACAATTTTTTTTTCCGAAAGCATGATCCTTTATTTATATCCTTGGTTACCTTCAATTGCGTTTTGCAGGAACTTCTGGCTGGCGGAGGAGCTAACATTCCACGCAGCATTCACGAAGTTGTCGCACACCTAGCTTGTCGTCTTGCAAGATGGGATGATAGGTAAACATTCTACTGTGGTGTTAAACCTTAAATCATACTTAGTATGGAATTTGGACCAATTTTTATTTGCTACTAATGTATATAATATCACAGGTTGTTTCGTAAACACATCTTTGGGGCCGCTGATGAAGTTGAATTGATGTTTATGAACAGGTGATTGAATGCGATTCGGACCTTAAACGCAATAATTTGCGTGTAACATAGGTGTTCATTTCATCATTTGATTCCTTTTTGTTTATAACATGGACATACAATGTTCTTTTCCTTCTTGTTAGGAGAAACCAAGAGGATTTGCATCTGTTCACTATAATATTGAATCAGGAAATTAGAAGATTATCAACCCAGGTAAATTTCCGGACCGCAGAATGACTAATACCGTACTCGTTGAGAATCTTACAAAAAATTTATAATTTAGTTTATAAATTGTACCGATGTTGATAATGCTGAACAGAAATTGTATTTTCTTATTGAGTACATTGGAATTTCTCACATGTTCTTTTATCTTTCGAATGACCTAGTAGGTTATAAGAGTGAAATGGTCGCTCCATGCACGAGAGGAAATCATGTTTGAACTTCTTCAGCAGTTGAAAGGGAATGTAACAAGATCATTACTGGCCGGAGTAATGAAGAGTACAAGGCAAATGATTGAGGAGCAAGAAGCAGTTCGAGGCCGTCTCTTCACAATCCAAGATGTAATGCAAAGCGCAGTCCGTGCATGGTTGCAGGTTTTGTAATCTCTACCGATAATTTTCATTCCATCTTTGGACATAGGTAGGTCTTGGCTTGGCCTCACACGTTTGCTTCTTAATTTAGGACAAAAGCCTCACGGTTACACATAACTTGGGAGTGTTTGGTGGTTGCGGTCTTGTCCTTTCCATCATCACTGGACTATTCGGCATAAATGTAGATGGAATACCTGGATCTGAAGCAACTCCTTATGCGTTTGTTCTTTTCTCCGTACTCTTAGTTGTGTTGGGAGCAGTTCTGATTGGAATTGGATTGCTTTATCTTGGGCTGAAAAAACCCATCGTTGAAGAAAATGTTGTAGTGAGAAAACTAGAGCTTCAAGAGCTGGTTAGGATGTTCCAACATGAAGCAGAAACTCACGCCCAAGTAAGGAAAACGGTGCCTCACAAGGATGTTCCTCAAACTGCAGCTGTTAGGCCACCAAATGGCGTGAATCGTCGCTTCATGATTTCAAATGAGAAATGTATTTTTACTGCTTAAAATGAAGTATGTTAATACATTTTAACACAATGTTTATGCTTGGTCTATTGTTTTAACAAGTGATTACATGTTTCCCAAAGGGCAAATTCTAAGTGGACCATTTTGGTAGGTGTACCAATACTTTCTCAAGTAAATTAAATGAGTGTCTCAAAATTCAACTCATATTTATTTTCTTGTATTTGAGTCGATTCGACACTGATCATGTTACCATTTCACTCATGATAATAAGAATGAGTATGAAGTTCTACTTTTGAAATAAAACAACATTGCTTAACTAGTAGTCTTAGAACATGTGTTAGCATTGTCATTTCTAATATCTAACAATTTTATCTACTTTGACTTGTTGCTTATCAATTCTCCGTTGACTTTAATTTTCCCCTAATCATAAATAAACTTGTCGGTTAAAGGCATCAAAGATTAAAATTGAGACTTTGTTAATATATCTTATATTAGTATACATTCTACAAAACAACTAACCACCTTTCCTCAAGTTTGACTTGTAGTTGAAGTAACTATGATCATATACCTTGCTACCATTTGTATCAATCTCACATCTAACCAATGCACAATGCAAGAGCCTCTCCTCACTCTTTTCTCCACTAATGGAGAAACACATTCACCAAGTATACCATTACTCAAGGAACAATCTTTCCATGATCTTGCTCCATCCCCATCATTTCATCAATCATCTTCTCATATCATCAATGAAGCCAGACACCCTTCTTTTATTAACCTCATAGCCAACTTGAGCATCGCGAAGGCAAAGATCATTCACCGATCTCGTTCTGCTCCGTCTATTTTATTCACAAACATGAAGGTAGATTTTCACGAGCCCTTTGAAAACAGACCTGCGTATAAGTCATCGACTTTACTTGCGAGGCTGTGTTTCATTATTGTTTTATTGTATTTGGCTGTTGGTGTAACGGTGTACATGATAAGCGGGAGTTTCAAGGGAACTACTACATTCAGACCTGTAGATGCTGTGTATTTTACAGTGGTAACTCTATCCACTATTGGATACGGAGATATTGTTCCTGATACAATATTTACTAAGATGTTTACATGTGGTTTCATTTTGGTTGGTTTTGGATTCATTGGTTTTATGCTTAGTGAGTTAGTTGTATACATTTGTGATACACACGAAGCGTTCTTATTGAGCATGATGGATGAGAATAGATACAAGAAAATTCTAAGGACTTACATGGTTAATGAAGAGAAAGGAAGAATGAGGATAAGAACGAAAGTTTGTATTGCTTCGGTTGTTGTTATCGTCTGCATTGCTATTGGAACGATTACAGCACATTTTGTTGAGGATCTGAATTGGGCAGACAGTTTTTATCTTTCAATTACTTCTGTAACAACGGTTGGCTATGGAGATTTTTCTTTCAAAACTTTAGCTGGAAGGTGTTTCGCGATTCTTTGGCTTTTGGTAAGCACGTTGGCAGTTGCGAGGGCGTTTTTGTACCTCGCTGATTATAGTATGCAAAAGAGAAGCCGCGAGATGGCAAAAAGGGTTCTTCAAAAGAAGATAACTTTGTCAGATTTAGCAGCTGCAGATCTTGATAATGATGGATCAATCAGGTATGCCTCAATGTCGGTAATATTATATAATATGAGCATATTCTGTGTAGAGGAATTTCGTTCATTTTTTTCCGAGTTTTATCACATATATATCAGCTTCATTTTTGTTAACCTTTTTCTTTTGTGCAGTAAATCTGATTTTGTCATATACAAGCTTAAGCAAATGGGGAAGATTACTGAGATAGACATTCAAAGAATTAGCAAACAATTTGATTCGTTGGACCATGGCATGTATGGAAAGATCACTCTGGCTGGTCTCATGGAAACGGTCTAGTTCAACTATCTCAGATGAAAGTGTAGACCAGTGCACGAGACTGTTTCCATGAGTGTGTCTGGATACATATATGACTTATGTTTGGGGTGGGGAAAGTAGCCTTCAATATTTTTTATATAGTTGTGATACTTACGACTTACTAGGTAACTGAATTTATAACACCTCAATCATTTTATTCATAAGAGGCCCGAATTAACATACCTTGTTCTACATTAACACAATCTTAAAAAATTAACAAAATTGATGTGCGTGACATATCAAATTCAAGAATACTCAGACAGTGCTGTAAAAATCAGTACAATAGTTCACAGTATTATTGAAATTCACTGACAGTGGTATATTTATATAGTCTAGTTACAATATGAATACGCTTCCATTTCAATCTGCAAAGGCATATTTTTGGTAACCAGTCTAGGACAATTAACTTGAAGCAATTGTAGTAACATATTTTTGTTGGTCCTGTATGACCAAACAGATGATCACACGTTTAAAGAATTAGGCCACTAGGAGTGAACCAATACATATACACTTCTCTGCATTATACTCAACTAACAATAAGCATCTCAAATGTGTCTTTCATGTTCCACGAAGTAGTTTCATGCAACGAGAAAATTATGGCAGATTATTCTATGACTCAAGTTAGCTTTCACCTGGTAGCAGATGCTTCGTCGAGCAAAGCAAAATTGATCAGATTCTCACTTTTGCTTCCTTGGTTTTTCTGATTCTGCGAGTTAGTAAGTTTTAAAAAACACCAAAGCAAAATTAATTTTCACATCTAAATCGGGACAGTCTGAATTATGTTGTGATAGAACTGAAATGATGTATACCTCTGTCTAATGCCATGGATGCTCTCAAGGAGTTCCGTTGTTTGCTGCCACCTGAAATTCTTTGGTCTCTCTTCCCTATCCAATACTAAAATCGAGACATTCAAAACAGAAACTAGTTCAGTTTCAATCTCACTAAGCTTTTGGTCTATATGTTCCAAGAAGTCCTCATAAGAGGATATTTTCGACAAGCTGCTAGGTATGCTGTTTTCATTCCCAATATCGGTGCTAAGCGATTTCAAAATATTATCTATTTCCTTATCTTCCAGTGGATTCTCTCGACTTTCCAAAGAAATTTTCACATCTTGAATATCGTTGAACTTCATCTTATTAACGTCAGAATCATCGTTGAGAGAGTCTTTTAGAACTTCCTCCTTTGGAGCAATGATTCGAACTGGACTTGAATCGTCTTGCATTGTGTCTTCAATGTTTATAGTAACATTTCCAACTAGCTGACTTTCTTTCAAAGATATTGCCTGAAAACAAAATAGGTGCCTTTTGTAATAAAGCAAAAAAAAAAATACACTTTAGCAACAGTATAAAAACACGCGTGCACACACAAACATGATAATCTTATAGTATTTGTTGATATATTCGCTTTACCTCACTTAGCTTTGCGGAAAGCTCGTCGAGCAAATCAATGCGAATTTTAGACTTCTCCAAAGCCTGCAAAATTTGTTTCCTCTGAAAAAGCATGTCCCTGGCATAATCTTCATCCCCCTTCTGGATACTTATAGCTGCTTGCTTTTGAAGCTTCTCTGCTGATTCTGATAATCTTAATAGCCTCAATCTAGCACTATTTGCTGCATTAAACCACCACACATAAGTTTTCATATCTGTTACCGCGAAAATGGCTGCGACTAGAAGGTGTCAATACCAATATTGATACCGGTATTGTTATTCACGATACCTATGACAAAGAAAATTGTGGTTAATTCACAACGTGACAACCACAATCAGTGTCGTAACTCCTATACCGACCGAAATCACGAAAGTCTTTACGCGACCACGACCGTTATTTAAAACGGTCGCACTCTAGCAAATGTCCGAAACAGCAACAACAACAAAGCATGCAGCTCTTGGAATCCATTTGAAATTTACTTTTCATTATTTCTAGAATTCATTTGTTCTAGTGAACCTTTTATAAATTCATATTCACATGGAAAGTGCAATTTTCCCATCAGAGTCGTATTAAGTTTTTAGAGGCTCTGTAGATTAGTCACAACTTAACCGTGCAATACAAATAGAGCCCTATTTACTGTGACAAATATTTTATAAACCCTATTTAACCACGGTTTAAGCGTGACAAATTTTAGGCTCTACGCAGTAGCTCTCCTTGCATGCCGTCACTGACGGCCCTGTTATGCATATAATCTTGAGAGGCATATTGGTAAAAAGTTTCTATCTAACTACAGACCCTTTAAACTACAGTTCAATTTTTTAGTTGGTAAGAATTAGAGTGAAAAAGCAAAATCAAAGTTTTTTACATAATCCATTCAGAGATAAACTGATTTACAAAAGAAATTAAGCATGAATTGAAGTGTATGAGAGACTAGAGAGAGAAGGGTACCTTTGGTTCTTGTGGTGTGTGCTTCCGCATGAAGCTGATCAAGCTGAGAACGGAGGTCTTGAGTATTGATAGTGGTTGCACTTGAAGAAACACATAAGCATATAGGTTTTCTTCTCGTTGTCGTCAACATCAATGAAGGAACAGCCATGGTTGTGGCTGTTACTCCAACAAGGTTCAGTGTCATCCCTCGTCACAACTTGTCTTGTTCCCGAGCGTAGATAACAGATAATTAACCTTAAAACTTTGGTCTGTTTTTACTGTTATAAAGAAAATTCTAGTAAAGTAAAACTTTCGTCTAAATTGTCTTGTATTTTGTTACAGTCCCACATCGAAATGTTGGAGTACAAAGAGTAGAGAAACACGTTATAAATAAATTGGATAAGTTTATGGTTAAAACTAAAAGGGTCAGTTGGCTAATTATGCCACTCTCATCTGTAATTGGTGAGTGCTGTATGGCAATCAAGACATATGGCTGACATAATTTTTGGGGATCAATAGGGTTGGCTCGTTTAGCCGACCCTCCTTATTTATTTCAAAATTTTCTTATAATATTTATCTTTAATTTAAAATGAAGACAATTGATGATACATATTAATTTATATGATTGAAATAATAATGCTTAATATTATCTCTGTTATGTAATATATTAATTTATATGATTGAAATAATAATATTTAATATTATCTCTGTTATGTAATATATTAATTTATATGATTGAAATAATAATATTTAATATTATCTCTGTTATGTA